CGGTAAGCGGCCGCTGCCCAGCGGAGCTCCTCCTGGGCCGGAGACCTCGGACCCTGCTGGACTGCCTGCACCCAGATCGGGCTCCGGAGGGGAGTGGCTTGACCGAGCAGCGGGAGGCTCCCCGAGGGTTTTTTCCGGAAGACACGGTCTACGCCGAGAACTTTTGCAGGGGGCCCACATGGCTGGCGGGCCGCGTCATCCGTCCACTGGGAACCTGTATGTATGAAGTGTCGACGGAGTGCGGGCAAGTACTTCGGAGACACGTTGATCAGCTCTGGTGGCGCATGCTCCCAGAACACACCAGCACGGGGAGCCCAGAACTGCAGCCGGCGCTCGAGGAGGACGCGCAGCCACCCCTAGAGCCGGCCTCCACCCCAGGAGAACAGCCGATCCGGACACCGAGTCCACCTGCGATCGCGGAAGAGGGCCCAACTGCAGGAGTTGCAGAGCCAGAAGGGCCTCCACAGGTAACACACCCCGACACAGTTGACAGGGCCCCCGAGGCCCCAGTACCACCCCCCCGACGGTCCACGAGAGAGCGACGGTCTCCATCTTATTTGAAGGACTACGTCACCTAGGGTGGGTCCGAACTATGGGGGGAGGGATGTAGTGTATGCTGACCACCACCAGGGGCCAGCGAACAGCCAGAGCTTCGCTCTGAAAGAACAATAGGGACTAGGCTCCTAGTCCCTCCACTGGGGAACCAATGGGAACCGTGGCGGGAGATTCAAACCCACCAATGGTGACCAGGGGTGTGTCCCCAGGTGTGTATATAGTTGGCTTGCTGGCCATTTGTTCCTTATTCTTGTTGTGTACCAAATAAAGCGTGCTATGCACCACGTCGTCGTCGGTCGTTTATCCATGCGGCAACCCACTACATAACAGAGGGCTACTAGTGTCCTGGCCCCACTGCTGGACCTCCTGATGGCACCTGGTATTTTTGGCCACTGTGTGACAGAGAGTTGGACTGGATGGGCCATTGGCCTGATCCAACGTGGGCTTCTCTTATGTTCTTAAGCCCAGTAAGACCTGGCAACTCTAGATCTACAGCCCCTCCCAGTCCTCCACAGACTTCATCCCCAAATCTCCAGGAGTTTCCCAACCTGGATCTGGCAACCCTACCCTACCCTACTCATGACAGCTTCCAATATTAAAACAATAATATACAACAAGGGGTAAATCACAATAAAATCAAGCCACTTCCAAAACAATCAAAAGCAGAATGGCATCAGACTGCAGCATTAAAACAATCAACAAAAGACGAAGGAGAGGCAATCAATAGCGACAACAGAAATGGAATTTAAGCGGACTCAGAGAGAACTAAAGTCCAGTGAGATTGGCACCAGGCAAACTTCTATGTGGGGGGCCATAGTAGGCAAAGCCCTATCTTTGGTGCTCATCCACTTAATGTCAGAATACAGCCTGTCTGACGATCATCATAGCTGAAGGACTGGATCAGAGGTGGTCTGCTAAGTACCCCGAGGATTTATACTGTTAATCAGTGATAGTCAGATTTTGAATTCTTGGAACCATTCTTATCTACGTGCAGTCTAGAAGGCTATTTCATAATACAAAATCAAAAGAGTTTCTGGCTGAACATTAGGAAGAGCTTCCTGACAGAGCGGTTTCTCAGTGGAACAGGCTTCCTCGGGAGGTGGCGGGCTCTCCTTCTTTGGAGGTTCTCAAACAGAGGCTAGTGGAACAGGCGTCCTCGGGAGGTGGTGGGCTCTCCTTCTTGGAATTTCACGCAGAGGCTAGATGGCCATCTGACAGCAATGCGGATTCTGTGGACTTCAGCAGATCACGAGAGGGAGGGCAGGAAGGGCTGCTTCAGTGCTTAGATCTTGTGGCCCTTTCTTACACGACCAGGGAAACGTTGATTGCCACCTTGGGGCCAGGAAGCAATTTTTCTCCAGGCCAGTTTGGCCGAGGATCCTGGAGGAGTTTTTTGTCATCTTCTGGGCATGGCACAGGGTTCACTGTGTGTGTGTGTGTGGGAGGTATTTGTGAATTTCCTGCACTGTGCAGGGGGTTGGACTAGATGACCTTGGAGGTCCTTCCAACTCTATGTATCTATGATCCTCTCACTGTAGTCAGTCAGCTGCATCTAACTGTAAGGCTTCCCTGGTATGGGGAACTGATGCTCAGGTATAACTTTACATGTACATACGAACCCATTGCATAGCGGTTATAATGTGCAGTTGCAGCCTTAGCCCCAGCCTCTGTTTCCCCGCACCCCTTAATCTACAAAGCAGGTGAAACAACTCACTGCAGGGAGTTCAAGCAAAGCCTGTTAAAAGTGAGTTGCCAACCAGACCTTTCAACCATCCCATGTGGAGTGGACCAGGCCTGGCCGTCAGCATACCCTGAGGTAGGGTTGCCAGTTCCCCCTTCACCACCGATGGAGGATTGGGGGGGTGGGGGTGGGGTTGCCAGATCCAAGTTGAGAATTTTCTGGAGATCTGAGGACAGAGCCTGAGGAGGACAAGGAGCTCAGTGGGGTTCTTGTTGTGTGTCCTCCCACCACCCACACTTCCTGCTGCAGCACACACTGATCAACATCAACGGGGGGGGGGGGGGGGGGGGGGGGGGGGGGCCCGGGGTGGAATGAGCATGTGGATGGTGCTTGGGGGGGGGGTTCAACAGTGGGAGTGCTTCTAATGTCCTGGCCCCACTGGTGGACCTCCTGATGGCACCTGGTTTTTCTGGCCACTGTGTGACACAGAGTGTTGGACTGGATGGGCCTTTGGCGTGATCCAACGTTGGCGTCTCTTATGTTCTTATGATGGGGGAAGGATAGATGGCTAGGAGGAAGAAGAGAGGAGAACACAGACAGGTGGGCAGGGAGGTGTGTGTGGGGTACACGGTAAGCAGGGGAGGGCCCCCTGGGGACTCTCTGACCAGGGCCTACTGAGACCTGGAACCAGCCCTTCTGAATGGGTGCTCAAAATGTCGGAGACCTGCAATAGTCTGCGAGAATTTGTCAGTGTATTAACAACCGACCCTGCATATCTGATCTCTATCCTCTTGTACTTCAAGCTGTTAACAGTTTAGGGAAATAGAAGGTACATACTCGGATTGACTGAAGCCCCCCCTCCCCAGGCTTGGCTTCAGACTGTTCAGTGACCTGGACAGAAAGAAACTAACCTGCCCCCTGCTTTATTTATCCTTCTTTGGTAAAAATTGGTACCCAGGTCTGTACTGTAATACGATATATTGCAGCGGTACTGATGGTGACGTCTTTGGATGATGCTGATTGGTTGAACTCTACCACTGTCACCAAGGTAGAGGCCAGGTGGAAAAGTCCCTGACCGAGCCACCGTGATCCTAGTAAGATCTGCCCACCACTGACTGAGCAGCTGGGCTCTTAATGGTCTCCCAGTTGGCTAAGGAGGAGTCAAGAAACAAAGGACCGGAAGCCATCCAGCTGTAGAAGTGGAGTGGAGGGAGCATAGGTAACAAGGACTGAGGCTTGGGATGGTGAGAAATCCAGAGGACTGAGCGGGAAACGAAGGATACCAGAGAGAAAAGGGAAAACTGCTTGAGAGGTGAGTCAGGCCTGGTAAAAGCTGCTGAAGTGACGAACCCTACGCCCTTTTGGTGTAACCAGACAGATATTTGCCCGGAGGCCTCTCGTTTTGGCAGACAGCTCTAACTCATGCATGTGTTCTTCCCACCTGTTCATAGGAAGTGGCCCTCATAAAAGACGCGACGCGAATTGCCACTGTGGTCTGTATGGAAGATACGGAACTGTTGGTTGTGGATAAGAAAGACTTTTTCGGCTATCAATTGGACCAGGAACTTCACAGAGAATTCCTGACTCGGTATAACTACTTGAGGTAAAGTCTCCCTCCTCCTGTCAGCCTCTATGATTGCATTTTTCATTGCTCGTTTTCTTACTGGGTTGAACTTCATGACAGTGTATATTCATGCTTTCCTGTGTGGATGTAGGATCTGTACATTGTTGGAAATTGTGCTTTGACAGATGATGTGAAAGACCTCACCCTGAGACCCTGGAGAGTTGCTGCCAGTCTGAGTAGACAATATTGACATCAGGTTGGTTGCCAACTTCCAGGTGGGGCCTGGAAATCTGCTATTACAACTGATCTCCAGACAATAGAGATCAGTTCCCCTGGAGAAAATGGCAGTTTTCGAGGCTAGACTCTGACACTATATCTTGTTGAGGTCCCTCCCTGCCCTCCCCAGACCCTGCCACCTTAGGCTCCACCCCCAAATCTCCAGGAATTTCCCAACTCAGAGTTGGCAACACTGGGGGGGGAGCAGATTTTTTTCGGATCATGATGCTATGGTGTGGTCTTTCCTAAACAAGGACAGATTGTTGTTCCAGTGTAGCAAAATGAAAAAAAACTAATGTTGAAAAACACTACTTTGTCTGATTTGTATCTCCCCAACTGTCTGACAGATTTTCCCCGCCTAAACTTCAGTTCCCTTCAGTGACTGAGTCGCTCTACGGTAGCGTGTATATCTTCTCTATTGATACAAACCTGAAACTGTCCCACCCTTTGTTTAGGCTTTAGACCCAGTACAGGAATTTGAGGAAAAGACAGGAGCTGTCCTATTTTATAAACTATGATGAAATGGCACAAGGCAGATTAACTTTCAAAAACAGAATAAAGATTTTATTAAACAGGCAGTGAATATGTGTATGATAGGGGTAGTCAAGTTTTTCGATTGCTGAGGTAAAAACTTTCTAATATATAGAGATGAATTCTTAGAAGTACTTTGTTCAGTATATTTTGGCCCTAACACAGTTCTTATTAATGTTTCTTCTGGAGGACAGTGTCTGCTCAAAGTTTCTAGATTAATATCTTCCTTCAGAGTTCTAGGTTTTCCTTTAGATATTACAGCTTTTCACTAACTCCTGAAATGTCTAAGCTTCTCCGCTTTATCACAGATCAGGGTTCTCTTCCCAATGCCTTTCACTGGCAGGAAGTTATTCTCCTTGTCCCTAAGAAGAAATAACTCCTTTTACTATTTAACTTGTATGGGAGGTCTCTCTAACTACCCAGACCTCCTGCCAAATCCTTCTCCAGTATCCTTTGTCTGTATAAGGCTGTTCTGTAGCTTTCCTGCCTGAGAATCTAAATTCTTTCAGAGGAGTTTTAATATATTTAAGACAATGAGGTTTCTCTTCTTCTCTCTGTAGAAATACTTTTCTGACTATTGCCTGTCAGCAGGGCTTTTTTTGTAGAAAAAGCCCAGCAGGAACTCATTAGCATAATAGGCCATACCCAACAGCAGAAACTCATTAGCATATTAGGCCACACCCTGACAGCACAGCTCATTTGCATATTAGGCCACACCCCATGTTACCAGAAGTGTGGTCATCCAGCCACACCCACCTTTTCCTTCTTATTCTCTTTACCTTGTTTGTTGTCAAAACCCAGGGCTTTTTGCATGTTAGGCCATACACCCCTAATTGTAGCCAATCCGAATGAGTTCCTGCTGGGCGTGGCCAACTTGGGAGCCAGCCAGAACTCCGTT